TTATTACGAGCGTTTCCAAGGAATCAAACCCACTGCCCAGAGCTTTCCGAGGAATCTCGGCGCCGTTGCGTGAGGGAGGACACACACACAACGCGCTCCCCGCTCCCTCTCCCAGCGCACCGCTCCCGGACGCGCGGTCCCCGCGTCCCGATCACGACCGAGCGGCACCGGCTGTCCTCCCCTGCGCCACAGCGGCTCATCCCACACCGGGAGCCCGCCGAGAAACGGGGTTTGGTTTGTTGGGGTTTTCTTCGTCCCCTCCCTTCTCCCTTTCCCACAGGCGCTTGGCTCGGCGTTTCCCCGGCTCGAAGCAGCGCTGCCCCCGGGCACAGCCCGCTCCGGCGCGGCCGCGGAGCGCAGCGCGCAGGTTCGCCGGCGCTGAACAAAGCTGCCGGCATGTGCTTCACTTTGAACACATTATCCTCCGGAAGCTTTGACTGAGCAACAGCCAGAGCTCCGTGAATGAAGCTATTGGAACACAGACGAACTAAATGGGTAAAGAAAGGCAAGTCTGGTTACCAAAATTACATTTCTCATTTCCTATTCACCGCAGTGAGGCAGGTACTTATTTACTGCGGCTTCAAGCTACGACAATTAGTAAAGGAGACTGTAATTTACCTAAAGGAAGGCAATTTTCCCCTTTTATTAATTTACAATAGATTTGTAAAATAATCTTACAGCAGCTGGTTCTGCTCGAATCTGTTTCAAAAGTGTGATGTAAATACTGTCTCACACTATTTTGTTGCTTATTAGGGCTTTCTGGTAGGTGATACGACTGAGAGTGAGGGGAAAGAACACCACACATTTATTTTTAAGATTATCATCACAGCGATAAAACTTACGGGAAGAAGTGAGCATACTTTCTATGCGTATGCGTTAAAAACACACGTATTCAAAGTAAGTCAAATGCAAAAGCTACAACTGGACCGCTACAAACACAGCGGGTACAGCTTAGCGCATTTTCAAGAGCTGTTTTAACTGTGTTTAAAAGGAGTAGCAAATTCCCAAATTAAATCACCCTATTTATAGCAAAGACAAAGAGTTTCACACAGCAGGAGGATGTACTAAAGAACCATTTTCCCCCACCTGTTTCCTTAGAAGGGTTTAAGTATCTATATCTACATCTTTCTAGTAATCACATATCTGAAGTAATTTAGCTCACACAATATGAAACAATAGGTAGAGTGAAAATAATATATCTGGGATATCTGGGATTCATTACATTTGGATTTTTTATCAGTAAACTTCTGAGATTTTAATCTTCACTGAGCAGATTAATATTTCATATCAGAGTCAGAGGAAAACAAACACCATACCTAAGCAAAGTATTTATCACTGGCCTACTCGCTGTTCACACTTGGCTGCAGCAGGCAACAACTTACATCCAACTCATCCATGGAATGCAACACTGATCAAAGCTTTATTTCAACTATAACACAGTATATCCATGGATTATAATCCTTGAGCAAACAGAATATCACAGTAATGAAGACCTTAGCATTACAAATATGTTAAAACAGCTTGCATTTGGGGTGATATTTAAGGTCAAGTTGTATCTGAACACAAGTATTAAAATATTATGAAAATTACCATTATGGAGTAAATAATGTTTTCTTTCAGATATAACCTCTAAAAGTACATTCCATTTTAAATTCGGTTTTCTTATTTTTCACTACCAGCAAGCTCAAACTGAGCATCTACATCCCCAACCTGCTCTATGTGTGAATGAAAAAGACAGAAATTAAGAACTATAAGCTCAGCCTAAAAATTAGCTCCCAACTTCTATGAAAATATGACCCTGAATAAATACAATCAAGAGGATACCATAGTGTCAGATATGCATCTAAACCAATTTACTATTTCAACTGTACTCTCAAATTAAATTAATAGGCTTGTGAAAGATTCTGCAGAGTAAGAAATTTCTTATGTTAGGGAAAAGTAACATGCCTTGCCTTCTGCTCCTGCCCCCACAGCCAGAATAACTGAGAAAGCAAAAAGCTTGGGAATGTGATGGTAGAGGTGACAAGATGGGTGAACAGGCTGTGCTCCTGGGTTAGTATTGGGGTTACTCATCTGTGCATTAACCTAGAAAAGTATGATTAATTATTTTTTCTTGCAAGATACTACAAGATTAATTTACAAACAGGAAAACCTTTGGGTTTTCTCACTGCTCTTTTCTCAGTTGCTGCCCCCCACCTATCAGAAAAGCACAATAAGCAACAGGCCTCTAGGACCACCACACCTTATATATATATATATATATATATATATATATATATATATATATATATAGTAACACAAAAGAGCAAGAGCAGCAAGTCAAGCCTACAGAGTAACAAGTTTTCTATTTTTTTTTGTTTGGGTTTTTTTTTTTTTTTGTTGTTGTTGTTTTTTTGGGGGGTGTGGTGAGTTTGGTTTTTTTGAGAAAAAAATTTACACAGGATGAGTAGGAAATTACAGAAGATACATATGATGTAATTTCTATATTTTATATTATATATATATATGCAAAAAATCTTGGGATAAGATGGGGTATAACTACATAGAACCACTAAGTTTCAAGTGACTGCCTTGACTTGGTAAAGAATACCCATTCAAGATCTCATAGGACACCAATATTAAATCATATCAGTACAAATCACTTAGGAGGATTCTTAAATTTTTTAAAAGCACAACAAAATTTAACATTTGCTTTCTCAAATCTATATCTATAAAAAGGCAAGTATCAAGCTAGCCCAGCCATGGTAAATGAAACTCAACAAATCTAAGTAAAACAGGAGATACCATATAATTATGGTCCCTTGCCACTGCATGGCCCGACTCAGCAGACACTTGCTCCTACCCCTATTACTGTGCTATTTCACAGTCATAGGCAATTGCATTTATTTGTTTCAAACCACAGGCCAATATGAAGGCCCTTGTCTCTGAGAAGGGTCATCTAAACAGATTCCTGCTTTAAATGGTTCTCTTAATTTAGTTTTTCTTTTCCAGGACATGTTCCTACATAGTTTTCCTTGAACTTGTTGTCCTATTGCTTCTAAAGTGATGCTACAGGAAATAAAATTAAATTGCTTCTTTGAAGAGAATTTAATTTTACTCTCATGCACGCTGTGTGAGTACCGAACTGCAGCACAGTAACTACTCTAACCCTGCTTGCAGGTGCCTTTCATGCACGTTGCCAAATTCTCACCCAAGGAGCTGCCATGCACTCGATGTCCACACCCCCAGATCTCCTTCCAGGGGAAATCACCAGGGCAAGGAGAGCCTGAGCATCTGCACTGTGTTCCAGGGGTTAGGCAGAGGTGGGAGAGATAAAGACTCAGATTGTTTGCACGTATAAAGTACTTTGGGGCAGAGATTTTTGTTGAAGTGATTTCCTTTTGGACAAAGAACAGGATAGGTCCTCTTTGTTAATAACTAACTGCTCATCCATCCCTTCCTTCTGAGTATCATGTAGTTTTCCCTTCTTGTGTGCTCAACCAGTTCCAATTATTTGCTTTATAAATGTGAGCTCTACTACTGTAAGATCCATACACATTCCCACTAAATTAGATTGAGAATCACATTGTGAGTTTACAGAAGAAAATATTACCAAGTTGTCTTTGTGACAGAACACTGAGTAGGTATAAAATTGCAATGGTCTCTATGCCAAGTTTTTTTTAAGCTCTCAGCTTGTAAGATGAAAGCCTAATTTGATATTTTTGTAGTTATATAACAGTTCTAATATTTTGTGACATTTTGTATTGTGACACTATAGATGAAATTGTCATCGGACTGACACCCTTTACTGTTTATTCCTTAATTACAACTGTTAACAACACTGCAGAGAAGCGTGCTAATCTGCCATCACATATTATGAAAACAACGTTATTGTTACAAACACCAACACCCACTCAACAGGATAATTCTAAGATGGCAGTTTCTGTAAAAAGTTATCAGTTTAATGGACACTTCAATAGAAAAAGTTTAAAATGAACTCCTAATATTTCAGTGGAAAATATACAACAATTTTATATTGCACCTAAAGTTTTGCTTTTATTGTGTCAGTGATTCTTCATGATGCATAGGGATATAATGTTTTTGAATACTGGAATCTCTATATAGTCTGAAGATGCATAGCTCAGATAACTAGTAGACTAGTAATATTTGCAATCATTACATTTTCATATCCTCAGACACTAGTAGAGGCACCTTTTTTCCCCCACTACTTCCAGATTGAGGGTGGAATGATGTTGTTGCAAGAGATTAGATTTTAACAGTATATTGATTCAAGTCCAGGTTCTTAACAATAAAATAAATTAATATTTTTAATATTTTCTTGGCTTCTTTTGCTCAGGAAAGATAAAGTTTCTGCAGGCCATGTCACACACCAGAAAGGATCTTCCACTGAACTGACACTTTTAGAAGTTCTGTACCAGTGAATTTTTCATACCAAGTTAGTTCAGTACAATTAAAACTCACTGATACTGTACCTCTGTAGGAGGAAGCTGGGAAGCTGTTCAATGGCTGAAAATTAAAATATTTTATCTTCAACTTCTGTATATACTTTGTTCTTGGACAGCCACAGCCAGTTACCTCTCAGTTTGCTTCTTTCAAACTTTTCATGCCTCAGAAAAAGTTCTCACTTGTAGATGATATCAGCAGAAAGAAAATAGAATTAAGAGCAGCCTAAGAGTAGCAAAAAGCCCTAGAGGTTTGTTTGCCCACCTGTTAGACAACAAATACAATGTAGGCAGAAGGAGGTTGGGAAACGCTGCCTGGAGTGAGGTGTATGAGTGATGAAAGTGGCAATGACAAAAAAAAACAGGGAAAACAAGATGCAGAAATTCAAGTTTGTTCCTTCTACAACCACTCTCGTGGAGGCTTTTGCACAGATTCCTGGTGCTAAACCAAGGCTACTCTGATGCACAGTCTGCCTTTTCTGCTAACAGTAAATTCTTCCTTTCTGCCTCATCCACGAGCAGGCATGCAGCACAGATGACTGAAGCGAAGAAAGATAATGCAAGAATCTGTCTTTACTTATCGCACTTATATGTAGAAGCAGAGGATTAAAAATAACATAAAAACTCTTCTCACACTGAAAACCCAATTGCCTCAGTGGAAATCTATACACCAATGTTTCTCATTCTTGATCCTAAAAGTCCGTTTGAGGATTGCTTCTCTAGTACAGAATAAAAATAAGGAATTGTACACAATGCAACAATGGAATGAAATTATCCTATATAATTATTTTAAATTTAAATTATTTACATTTCAGTTTAATGGCATGATATTCTGTTGCCCGATCTGGATGATCTTCTCTGCTTAAGTGCTAAATTACAAAACAGAATGGAACTAAAATGTTTATTTTTGTGAATCTTCTTCAGGGTAGTTTATGCTCTGCTTTGTAGCTTTCATTTTCTTAAAGCCAATAGGAACTTCTGCTCTTCCTAAAAGAAAGTCTTCCCACTCAGGAAGAGATTCTTTTATTGATGCCCAATAGAGAGTCTGAGAAAGATATAAGAAAAAATAAACTTAATTTCAAAATTTGTGTCAGCCAGTTTAAAACAACATAGAAATGCAATGCATTATTAAATCTTACTTTAAGTGTAAAGCAATTCAGAAAAGAACAACATACTTAACATATGAAATTTTAATCTCTTGTATGATACAAAATATCAGCTTGGAAATATTTCATTCTGCAGGACAAACTGTGAAGTGACTGAATGTGCCCTCTTGTGGTAAGCAACACATCAGTTTAGACCTTACAGTACCTTTAATAAACTATTTTCCATGACTATATACTTTTCCAAGAGCAGCTTATATATTTAAGTACGTATGTTACTGTAATTTCATTTTGCAGTGGAAAAAATGTTAGAAATGAAAGCTGCCCCTTTACCAATGTAAATTGATTATTCTAGAAAAGTTTACAGTATTATACAGAACTATAGTTCAAAATATTTGAGTAAAATTTTAGACTTGATAGTTCACTGATGAAGCAATCATATCCAGTATTTGGATCACAAATTAAAATAATAATTAAAAGGTGATGCATATTTAGCGAGTGGTCTAGGAGAATCACTGTGGATCATCTAACCCTTCCTCTTGTTTCACACTGTGCCTGAGTAATAAATATATTCTTTATCTGTGTTATTAAGTATTCATCCTTTTTGTGTTGGTATCCTAAGGATAACTGTTGTTTGTAGGATTTTCAGGAAAATTTTAAGTACCAGGTATCATTTTTTCCCCACAAAATAACATGATCTAAGAACTGTGCTAAGATAGCACTTTAATCCATCCACATTTGTAAATACTTATTGCCATTGATGTCCATTCAGAAAATTGTATTTTGCAGTAGAAAACAGTTATGATGCATATGTAGTGATCATTTTTTCTTTACTTAAGTAAATAATGAAGGAGAAGTGCAGCATAAAACTGAAGATCTCCCTGCACAGTATTAGATTCCTGGCTAATCATTTTGATCCTTACATGTAACTCAGATATAACTATGGCTCTTGCAGGTTTACAAAAATATTTTCTTCAACAGATTTACTCAAAGAATCTTTTTTGACAAGCATATGTGCTGTCACACAAAACTACTCCGACTCAGCAAGCTGGGGATCCATTATAGCCATAACTTTCAGAGTATATTAATACAGACACATATATGGCTGAGTGAAATATGCTCAGAAGTGTTTTGGAACAAAGCATGCACAAGGATTTTGTACCATGAAAGAAAGTTTTCTTTTTCCACTATTTATAGCACTCTTCTCTAGAAGCATTAAAAAAAAAAAGAAGCTGAAATTGGATCTTCTCCTTCAAATAGTAACTCTGTTCTCTCCAAAATTTCACCACTGCTGCAGAGTGCAGAGATTCTGCAGCCACGAGCAAAGGCTCTGCAGCCTCCAATTTGTGCTGACTTTGCTTGATGAGCAGCTTCACACCTACCATTGACTAACTGACCCAAACAACTCGAGAGGTGTCTCTAAAGTCACTGAAGAGTCTAAAACTACTTCTGAACACAGTCAAGACAGGTTTAATGTTTAATATTAGTAGGTTGGCATCTTCCTTAGCATCATTCAAAACGTACAAGTCTTCAGGAAAGGATGTACCCTTTTGCCTAAAAATGTCTAAAAATAATACAAAAGCCACAGAAGGGGCACACCCAGTGTACACCTTGTCACAGCCACAGTAGGCTATTTACAAAATGCACTGACAGATGAAAACTTTGAACAGTAACCAGAACAAGAAGTGATGCCTCTCCTTTAAGTAATAGCCTAAGCATGCCAACACTTGCCCAGCAGGTGTGAAGCTGAGGTACAATACACCTCTCTTCACAGCTGACAGTGCTGAAACCTGGCCCCTCGCCCTGCTCTGACAGAGCCCCGGCACTCAAACCAGCACGGGACACTCTGCTCCTGTGCCTTTGGGAACCAAGCCACACACAGCACACAACACAAACACAAACCACTGGGGCAGGAAACAGATGGGAATCTGCTCAAAATTTTTATCTTGAAGTAATGCTTTAGGGACTGCAGGCTGAGAAGAAAAAAAAGAACCCGAGTGTTCCTGCTGCAGTACTTTTCATAAGCTTCCATACAACTCTAAAATAATTGATGTGAAATTTTCTGTTTGTGCTGATAAACTGCTGACACTGAAATGTAAAGATGACAATCTGTGGTAAACTGAGAATGGGATGATCATATAAAATAATCCAAATAGCTGATATAGTAAACACAGTAATCGTCTAATATTCACAATATCGATTTTCTATATTTGACTTCATTTTTAAATAGAAATTTGTATAGGCTGCTAAAGGCTGCTAATATTTCCACCAGAATGCTCCAGAATCTAGGGACCTTGTCCCAGAATTTAGGTTCAGCTTGCTACACAGTACACAGGCCTTTGGCTATACCAGTCACTGGATTTTAAAATCAATTATTTTCACTTTAAGAACACGCTTCAGGGAAAAAAAAAAAGAAAAATATTTGGTAAAAAGCAAATGAAAACAAATGAAAAGACAGAGTTCTAGGACTTACTTCTAACTTAACAGTATCAGAGTGTGGAAGTAAACATGTTCTTTCTTGCAGCCTTTTTTCTGCTGCTTCTATATCCTAAAACACAAGCAAAGTAAATTTTAATAACAAGCACTGGGAATTTTAAAAGACAAATACACATATAAAGACATTTAAATTAACTAAATAAACTCATTACAGCTAAACAGCAATCAAAAATTAACACTGAAGTTCAAATATTTGTTTAGTCACTCTGAAATACAACTTGTACTACTTAGACTAATCCCCTACAGCTGCTAAATGTGTTTGCTGCACCTTTTTTATACAAGAGTACATTTTACAACCAAGTAAGACTTTTGGTGTAAACACTGCTATTCTCTCTGGACACCAGGGTAAATAGTTAAATTCTGTTGTATAAAACTTAAGGAAATAGAGGGGAACAGAAGATCTTCCTCTGTGCTGCATAAGACTAAAGTATGTATTCTAGCTACTGTAACTGTAAAGTAACTAGGCAAATTATGTGCAAGATCTTTACATCTCAAGACAAAGATGACTTGCTAATATGCATGCATAACATGTGCACATAAATGTAGAACTGCAGCAAGCTGTTCACCAGACAAGCTTGGATGACAATGCACCTCATATAGTTTTCTTAAAAAAAAAAAAATCAGTATTTAGGTTTCTGCTTGTCCAGTGGATGTGTGCTGGATTCACAGAGGCCCAAATAAATCTTTCAAAAAAGAAACAACCAAAAAAAATCAACAGCATCAAACAAATCCAAAGCATGCCCCCTAACCACCCTCCCCCTTTAAAGTTCTGACCTGTTCTTGTGGGCTTAGTTCCATACCCAAACATTGAAGAGATTGAGTGGTGGGCAGATGAAGAGAGACAGAAAGGGACGTGGGAGTGGGGTGTGAAGAAGCCAAAGCTGAACAGAGTGGAGGGGGAAAGAAAGTATAGCAGATGGCAGAGTTGGGAGCAGAGAGCGGGTGTGAAGAGTACAACAGAAAAACTAAATGAGAGAGGAAATTCCCCAAAGGGACTTCCCAAATATTCACCACCACTGCTGCTGAAAAGAAGAGTGAGATTCTGGAGGAGCACATCCACAAGAGAGACCAAACACGATTACTCGTATTGAATAATAGCCAGTCTGAATACATCAATAAGTAAACAGTGTTCAACTCAAGTTTAGTTCAGCAGAGTATGATTAATAAGAGCAAAAAACCAGCTAAAGTTTAACTAAGTGACACATACTCAGATTGTTCAATTTAGTGTTCATCTTATTTTATTTCATTAATTCCTTTTACAGTATTCTTTTGTACAAAATTATAAACCTAATCCAAGTAAAATTGCTCCTCCCCTTTCTACAGCAAAATCCATACCACTGTAGGGAGCTAAAAGATGTCTGAGAAAGAGTAAACTAATTCTCAGATTTATCCAAATTCTCAGAAGCGGCAAATGGCTTCCCCTTCTCAGGTAGGAAAAGACTAATGGGATAAACATATAGAGGGAATAGGAAAAAGGACATATGCCATTTGAAATCACAATGTCAAAGTAACAGAGGTCAACATAAATTTAAGTGACTTAAGCAAGGAATTTCTCTGCTGCACATACTTAGAACAGACACACACAAACAGCACCAAATGAAGCTTGTATCAGAATGGCTCAGGCCAAGTCTGGAGAAGTTATCCCCACAACAAACCATACTCAATAAAGGATCATTCATTAATGTTCACCACATATTCCTCCATTGCATTTTCCTCCTTTCTGATTCCTTCTTCCTAATTACTGTAGGAGTTTTAACAGGAAGGAAGAAGAATATCAATCATTATTTCTTTATAGACTCAGCCAAGTAACTGGAATGTTTATGGTGCTAGAAAATTAATGTCTTTCAGGCAAGAAAGGAGAGAGCAGTTGTGCATATATGTTTAGTAGAGAAGGTCACTTTGGCATAGCCTAGATATTGGACGTGTCTTTTCATTGCCCACTCCAGTTTGTGTTGTGCAGTCTATTGTCATTCAGAATACTGATTTAATGACAGACAGTGAAAGAAATTTTTGCTGGAAGGTGTAGTATGCTTTAGAAAATAACTGGAACTACTAAAAGATTAGATGGCACTTCTTGTGTGTCTGCACAACTGGTAAGGTTTGTAGGAAAAATAAATCCCTGTCATCAATATAAAAATAAGTACATCAGCAGTATAAACTTCTTTGGAAAAAAAACAGCTAATCTGATATGTCACAGTACTGAAAAAAAGAGAGCATCTTACAGTGCTTCCCCTAAAACCACAAGAACTGGAACAAAAACAATTCAAGACCCTTCCCCAGAGGTAAAATGGAATGCACGACACATGCATTGCTTTTAGGGGACCAAATTCAGCTGTCACTTATATTGATATCAGTCTGGCACAATCACACTTAAATAATTCTGGAATTGCATGCCCGGGAAGGAAAGCAAATTTGTTCTAAATTACCTTTCCAGTACTAATTACTATATAGCATACTCTTTCTTTTCTATTTCATGTTACAAGCTGTTGCACAGTAATACATATTTCTAAACACAAGAAATATCACTGAGAAACAAATGTCATAAATTAGATTACAAATACTAGTCTAATTTCTGCTTTTATTACGACAACATTATATAAGCACCAAATGATACAGATTTCCCTAATCTGCAGTCTCCCTCTAAAGACATTGAGGAAAATACTCTGATAATTATGCTAAAATGCTGAACAAATGCTTATAATGTCAAAATTTCAATTAAAAAAAAAAAAAGGTTAGTTCCTTGCTTCCTACTGATTAGAATTTAAATTAATTTTGAAATCTTTCCTGTGCATAAATTCCATCTAGCACAGAGAAAGAAAAATGGCTTTTGCTATGATCTATTACTGAAAACAACTGATTTTGCTTACACGCAGAAAACCAGAAATGCAAATAAAAAAATAACACTTCGTCATGTCCATGTATTTTTGAGTAGGCCAAATCAACAACTCTCCACATGGTAACTGTGAAATGTACAGTGCCTGGTATCAGGAACAATATTCTGAATCTGGCACATTAATCAGTCTTGTTTTCAAGCTTCTCATATATTATGCTGCATAGATTTTTTTTTTCCTGTTTTCTTCTGTTATCAAAAAGCATCTGCAGGAGTGCATGCTTGTTAAAACTAGGGTAAAATTAATAGATTTAAATTGATTTATGCTATTTTATCCTGCAACAGAATTTGTTTTGATACATATGTTTTTGCTTTTTTTCTGTACAAACACCAACATTTTTGACACTTGAAAGGAACAATTTTGAGGATGTGACAGAAGATAGCAAATATCTGTTTAACTGCAGAAATATTTACACTCTGTATATATCTGAGCTATTGTTACTATTTCCACTACAATACAGGTTTCAGGATGGAGAAATAGACTCTGCATTTATTGTGTTTGCCTGTATACATAAACTGAGAATGCAGTCATAAATACAAATAATTTATGAAAACCTACATTCACAAATTAAAAATCTAACCTAAAATGTCTGTGGAAAATAGGAGTCATAATGGCTGAAATTACTAAATCAACAGAGCAGGAACTATGGAAAAAATAACCAAACCATCCATTTATCCTCAGCCTCTCACTGAAGCACCTACACTTACTATACCAAATAAAGAGGGGCTTGATTGCCTCTGTTCAGAATGTACCAGTTCACCAGCACAAGCTGAAAAATCTTTGTCACAGAATAGTTAAGAAGGCATTCCTGGCTAACTGTTCTTCTTGTGTTCCCCTCTCTAAATAAACCTCCCATTTAAATACAAACTCTAATGCAATAGAATTATACCCACCCAAAATGTGAACATTTTAAATCTGAACCAGGCTCTGCCGAAGAAATTCTGGTGACACAAATTAATCTTGTAATTTTCTGGAGTAAAACTTACTTTTTCAATAAACACAATACATGCATTATGGACCCTTAATAAGTATAAGCTTAAAGAAAAGGCATAGGGAGTTCAGTTTTCTGCTGCCTCCTGGAAAAGCAACGCACATTCTTCAAATGCATCATGTCAGTGGTCAAGTGTGTCTCTTCAAACTCAGATGCCTGAGCTAGGGCTTCCAGAGGAGCTTTTCAGTAATCCAGTCTCTGTCATCAAACTTAGATCTTTTTAATTGCCTAGGAAACAAATCTTACCTGACTATTACACTAGGTATGCAGAACAGCTATGAACATTATTAATGTTCCCTACGAAGGGATGGAAAAACCAAACACTGCTTGTACAGATTTGCAAATAAAATGCTTGAAGTCACTCTACACCTCTTTAGAGGAAAATATTAAACTGAGAACCTCTTCCACAACTTATCACAGCCACAGCAGGAGAACAGCTCCTACCTTTGGCCCAAAGCACTGTAGCCTGGTCAGCCCATTTCCAAACATAACCACAGCGTAGAGGGGCTGTGAGTCCTGACAGACCCCTAAGTTCTCTGAGGCAGACATGTACTAGCATGTGTTACATCACTACTTGTGCTTAAAAAAATAAAAATACATAGTAGCAGCTGCCACCACGAGGCTTTTATAAGAAGGGCACGGGAAATAGGTAGTGATGCCATCGGATAATAAAGACTTGTCATTTAATACTTTTTGGTCAAGTTCCAGAAGAGGGAACCATATAGAAGAGAATTCCAATGACAACTATAGAGCAAACACTTCTCTTTTTTTTTTTTTTTTTTTTTAATTATCTAGGCTACATAACCGTGACATTTTGATGCGGTTCCTGGTAGTTGCAGAAACTTACATTTAAAAGTGCTGCATTCCTTTTATGAGCTGCATCAGCTGCTTGAGTTTGCCATGTCTTTTTAGTCTTTTTGTCTCTTAGATAAGTCTCCATCTGCTGTAGCAGCTCTGATCTCTGAGACAGTCTACAAAGGAAAACATTTTGCTAAGTGGGTAGAACATTTTGCTCAGGAGCTAGAAAATAACCTTTTTACCTTACCCAGTTTTCTCAAAACTATGGGGCTAATTACGCCGGCTGCAGGGTGGGTGTGCTGGGGGAGGGAAAAGGTACAGGCAGGCATCACCTGCTGTGCTTGTACCGAGCTGTAACACTGCAAACAGCACTCCTCAATTGCTGAGGTGCTGAGAAACACTGAATCTCCCAGAAGAAGGAAAGACAGGGTGGGTTAGGGTGACTTGATCAGTACTACATTTACTCACTGGCACGTACTAGTTGTTACAAGAAAAGCAAATTTTCCTGAATCACTGCTGTATTTGCCTCACAATTTGAGTTTACAGGGCAACAAAGAAGCAACTCTATAATTGAGGCATTGAGTGAGAGAATCCAATTACCTTCCCCAAATAGGAATTTAACAGTGACAGGTTGACAAGGGAGATCTCAAACTGGTACCACCATTGGAAGTCAAAAGCCTCATCAACCTAAATACCCTAAACGGCAGGCAAGGATGCTAATTCCCATGGTTCCTGAAGGAAGAGTGCCACCTCCTGGAACTCCAGCCCCTTGCTGAAGCACCACTGTGCTGTGCAGAGCTCAGATTCACTGGCTCCAAGGGTCGTGGACAGGGAGGGAGAATATCACAAGACCCAACACAAACTGCTGCAAGGCAGAGCACTACTCACATCTCCTCATGTCTTCTAGCAAGGTGAACCTCCTGAGCCAAATAGGATGACATCTTCAGTTGTTTGCCCCAGTTTTATACTCTATAAAAGGAAAGCCAAGTGAAATTAAAATCTTCTAAAGATGTACATTAATGTACACTTTACATAGTAAACAATTCTGGTTAAAAAGCTGCACACATTATATCCACATGTCAGCTATCTACACGAAACCTGCCACAAGGTATTGCTACAATTTGCTTTGATTACATTCACACTACTAATGTTCACAATATGTTTCAGGGAAATGCTACTGTATTCTAATAATTTACAAAAAACAAGTTTTTTTTAGTTTCAGATTCAGCACTGAGTGTTCTTGAGTTTCAGATGCATATAACCACACACATACTTTGTGCTTAAATAAATTGTCTTTTACTGTTTGTATTACTGATTTCTGGCTTTTATCACGTTACACTGAACAGAGTTATACTTGTAAACTACTTCTCATAGATACAGGGACCTGCTCATAGATACAGGGACCTGCTCATAGATGTTTAGATTGTTTAGAACTTAATGGATTTTTTTCCTGAGCTATTAAGGAGATGCAGATAAAGATCCTACGGCACTTTTCAGAAGACTGAAAATGTTTTGGCTATTTTTTTTTCACCTCAGAGGTGACTACATTTTTACTTTGAGTAAAATTAAATAACTTGTCACGTGTTGATAATGTAAAAGGGTGGGAGAGCTGATCAAGATAATATTAGTTAAGGCCTCCTCACTATCACGTGTCACACCTAACTCTGAAACCAGCGATTTACATGTGGCCTCTGCTGACGGTGGGGCGCATCTTCTGGGGATATTTGTTTTATCACGCTCTGAAAGCACCTCTGTCCGCCTGGCCTGTTGCTAATGCTTCACCTTGTTTAACAAGGAGCACATCTACTCAGCGTACTTCGTGCTCTTTGCGACAGGCCAAGCCAGAGCATCCCGCCGCCCGTACCGCCTGTTTTAGGGGCGCCTATGGCTTACAACAGGAGCCATAAACCGGCACCAGCCTGAGCATCCTCCGCCCGCGGCACCGTGGGGCAACCGCTGCCCTGGGCAGATGCCAAGGCCTGGGGCAGCCCGGAATGAACCTCGGCGGGCAGACCCCGCATCTCCAGCAGCCCCAGGGAAGCCCCTCGGGCCGAGCAGGGCACCTCCACCCCACACCCGCGGCCACTCCGCCTCAAGCCGCGGCCCTCACGGGACGGGAGCGCCGCGGCCGCAGCGCGGCCGGCACCGCCTGAGCCCTACCACTGGTGAAAGAGGGGGGAAGGATGGATTTACGATCTCTCTGAAAGGTGCCATCCCGTATAATTACGGGAGAATAAGTCAGGAAATAAAAGTAAAATACCAAATACACTAGCTAGTTTACCTTTAGCCTCGCCGGCTTCGAAAAGCAAAGCAACCAACCGCAATGATCTCCGGAACGTCTTGAAACCCCCCGCCCTCGCTGCCATGGAGACGGCCGGAAAGGTGGAGCCGAGCCGCGGCTTCGGTGGGCGGGATCAGGCGGGGGCGGGAACGGACTCCGCGTCTGGGATTGGAGGAGCGAGAGGGCGCGGGGCCAATCAGGGCGAGGGGCGGGAGCGCGGGGAGAGGCAGCCGGGGGTCCCCTCACAGAGCCGGGGACCCCTCACAGGGCCCGGATCCCCCTCACGGAGCCGGGGATCCCTCACAGAGCCCGGATCCCCCTCACGGAGCCGGGATCCCCCTCACGGAGCCGGGGACCCCTCACAGGGCCCGGATCCCCCTCACGGAGCCCGGATCCCCCTCACAGAGCCGGGGATCCCTCACAGGGCCCGGATCCCCCTCACGGGGCCCGGATCCCCCTCGCGGAGCCGGCGGCCGGGGGCTCCCCCGGGATTTGCGTTTAAAGCAGTTGTTCCTCCCTCTGTGCAAGGCACAGCCTTCCATGTCCGACCCGGGAGAGCACCCGGCAGCACCAGCCCCGTTCTCCACGCGGTTTCCAAACCTTCTGGTGTGATCCTGCCCGTGTGTCACACCTTCGTTCCTTCCCGGCCTCAAAGCTGGAGCGTGGCTGAGGCGAGTCTAGTTCTTTATAGGCAATTTACATCAAAATAGACTCCAAACAAAAAACCACAATTAATCCACCTTTTTTTTTGTTTTCTGTAAATGTTTTGTTCTTCACAGAAAACACAAACAAAAAAATTCCAAGCTAGATAAAGCTGGAAAATATTTTTAAAATCAATTTCAGTGCTGCTTAATAGATTTACATGTGCAGCCATAGATTTCTAAAAGCTGTTCTGAAAGTGCTTGTCTTGCCTAAATGTTTTCCATCTAAGCATTCTCTCATCCTAGTTTAAGACACCTCATCACAAGCCTTTCTTACTGCTGATTGAATCTGTTTCTTGTGATTTTCATATCTTTATATTTTCTATTTTTTCCCCATTTTATACTTCTGCAACAAATTCACATTAATTCACTTCATGACATAAGTAGAAGTTCTTTAATGTGCTTGTCAACTTAACCTTGCTTACTGTAGCAGTCAGGATAAATAGTACTCAAAAAGTTATTTTAATTTCTTTTTATCATTGTGATTTAAAGACAAGACTTCCCAATAAATGTCACAGAGGCGTAATGGTGCAAAAAGCTAATTATTATGGTCACATTAACTGCAACAGAAAGCCCAAGTGTTTTGCATATTTTACTTTGAGCTACACCAGCTCTCTGTAATGGCTGTCATCTTTCTTTCTTTGTAGCATTTAAAGAATTTCAGGAAGGAAAGGGACAAACTGAAGTTTGGTTTACATAGACCATTATGGATGACATTTGTGACGAGAATGCCAAGAGCATTTTTGTAAAGTTACAGATACTATCAATTGTTCAGTATTGCAGAAAAAGAGACAGGATGGAAACCATAATTTTCTAATGGCTAATTTCTTATGTGACAGTGGGTGAATGTCATATCTACTAAGCTATAAACTCTCATTTTAACCTAGATTGGTTCTGAAGTTGTCAAGAATATAAGCTTTAAACTTATTAAAAAAAATACTGTGCTGGTAGCAGCTACAAATCCCCATGTGCTGGTTTGAGCTGGTGTGGAATTAATTTTTTGCACAGTATCTGACCTGTGTTTTGAATTTGTGCTGGAAACAGAGATGATAACTTAGGGATATTTCTCCTGGTCAGGGCTTGCACAGAGTCAAGGTCTAACCGATCCAGGTGACATTCCAGACCCCTCCAGGTGACATTCCAGACCCTTCCAGGTGACATTCCAGACCATGTGGTGTCATGGTCAGCGTACAGAGCAGGGGGAGGAAGTCGTGTACATGGGGAAATGCTTTCTCCTGTATCTGAGTGCACTGGCACCTCGCTGTATTGTGTATTTCTGAGTGAAATTGGTGGATTGGGACACTAGATGGCACTTAAATACAGCTAACAAAGATTTTTGTCTCTTTCAACACACAAAAACAGTCTAACACATCCTGTTCTAACATGCAGTTAATTATATCCTCAAAATGATGTCTTGGATTGATATTACTAAACAAACATATAAAAAATGTAATTACAGACAACTGAAATAAATACTGTGGGCTTATAATTGCAAGATATGTTTTTTGCTTGTAATATGCTACACACCTGTGCATAGTTTATATAGATAGTATTTTATTTTGTCATTTTTACTAACATTTAGGATGGCACGATTTAGCTTTATGTGTGTTTATTTACTGCTACCAATTTTTGCCATATGTCAGTTTTTAAAAAAGGAAATCTTTTTATATATTGGGATTGCAAGACACACCAGTATTTCAGAGGGAAACGGTAAGAATGAAGTTTTCTTACATGAAATCACTTCAAAACTTTCTTAAAGAAATGTGCATATTTTAGGGTTTTTTTCTTTGCTTTCCCCTTCTTCCTTCCCTTACCTTTTGGAGGTATCTCTGTTGGTACAGTAGCTGAATGTCCACTTTGAGGTCTATCTGTTAACAAACATTTGTGGAGTGATATCATTTGTGAAATGCAGCAAGCCTACGGGACAGTCCGAAGCGTGAAATCCCATCAGAGAGAGCAGCCTGTGGCCATCACCTTGGCTTATGGCAGCTTTCCCATCAGCTGCAGAGGCTCTCAGCAGCATTTCAATCAACTGCACAAACCCTGTGCAAAGCTGCTTTAAGTTACTACAAGCTAAAAGGCAAAGGCATGCAGGGAAATGCCATCCTACAGCAGGAGTGAGCTAATAAAGTATCAAACTTACGAGGGTAAAAAATGTTCTAATATTCAGGGACTAGCTCTCAACCTTTCTGTTGGCAGGTCCCCTACCTTTCCCTGTCCTGTGTTACAAATTATTGTCTTCTCTGCAGTAGGGATATTACAGCTGAAATGAAGCTCATAAATGTTAGGACAACTCAAGAACAAATTCCTGTATTTGGGTTTTGAGTTTTTTGGTAGCTGAAGGTGTGTATTTGACATGGGAAACACTGGTGCACCTGTGGAAGTCAAGTGTTGTTGAAAATGAATTTCCAGCACATTACTCTGTGCTTAGACAAACTAATGTAATCTGTGTGTGCTTGTTGGAATTGCCCCCAGACATCAGGAGACTTGTTTCAGGTGAGCCAGAACCCAAACAGCAGACCAGGATGGGCTCAGCAACCATCAGCTGGTGCAAAAATAGCCCAAACTAGAGAAAGCCAGGCCAAGTTCAGAAAATGAATTGGAAGACCTGTGTGAAGAGGAAGATCCAAGAGCTCTGTGAGGGCACAGAAGTGGTAGAACTCCAGCTGCTTTGTGTACCTGTCAAAATGTAGTGTAAAACTGTGCATCAGGCCAGGCCAGACTCTGTCCAGTGTCAAAGAAAAAAATATTGTTATTGATAAAAAGATGTTAACAAGACAATATTTTCTTCATGCTGCAAGTAGAGATAGAAACCTGACAAATAAAACAAATCTAAGAAAATCAGTATTCAGTTGCAATTTCTTTTTTTTTTTTTTTTTTTTTTTTTCTTTTGAGGAAAGTGCTTTAAGGTTCTGTAAATACAAGCTAGACTAGACAATTCTTCAGATTGCTGATATACCCACTCACCCTCAGGCCAAGGGCATACATGCCTCAACAGGTGCTCTCCATCCGTAGTGTCTATGGTATAGCTACTTCTTTTTGAAGAGCTCATGAAAATAGTTTGGCCCTTAAGTAATAACATTAAGCTTTCTCTTAAAAAAAAAAAACAAAACAGGTCTCCACTGACTTTAACAGATGTACAGGTAGCTGAATGTTTTACAAGTAATTATAATAACTATTTACAGTAATTAACCTGAATCTAATTGCTTCTCAGCGTGATACGATAGTAAATGAAAACTTTATTTCAAAAAATTCCTTTTGTCTGTTTTCACTAAACTGCACAAAGGAAACACAATAAAAAAAACCTCTTGGAGAACCACTATTCTCTGTTCCTGTTTAGAGTACTTTAAATGGATGTGCTTAGCTTTGATCTTTCAACCACAACCACTTCCCCAGTGTGAAGAGCAAGCTCCTCCTGAGAGCATAAGGGGTGCACGTGAACAAGAGGGACAGAAATACACTTTCATAAAAGAATAATGTCAGATGGTTTATACAAGGGAAGGCTGATTTTCCCTGGCTCCCTCCCTAATCAGTGCAGAGAGCTCAGCTCTCCTTGGCCATGATGTAGACTCAAGGCTGAGCATTTGGAGCTGCTCTGATGGACCAGAGGTATCATTCTGTCCAGGCTGTGTAGGGAGCTGTGAGAAACTGCTTTCCTCAGCTTGGTGTTTGTAGTTATGTACCTGATCAGTGTCTGACCATCTGCTTCAAAACTATTCACAGCTTATGTCTTTCACACCCTAGTGGAGGTTCATTGGGGCTCCTCAGGACTGACTTTGCCTGCTGCACAGACAGAAAGTCTGTCAGCTTTGGCCTGCTTTGGGATTCCTGTTCAAAATCGTAGCAGTTTTACTGAGGAGGAGGTCAGTGCCTGCTAATTACATGTGAATTCAGTTACCTGCAGGTACTGCTGGTTATTTAAACAATCTTCCAACTTCCAACGCATTCACACGATGCTTCGAACAAACTGGACTATTCAGCTTTGCGCTTTGGGATGATGAAGGACACCATCTTCAGCTTCAGGCCATTTGCATTGGGTGTATAAGTCACCCTGTAACTTTTAGCCACCCCAAGTAATGCTGTTGCCATCTGGTCATACATTAAAATTGTCTTATTCTGTAATGATGATACATCTACAGCAGCAAAAAGTACTTTGAATTTTAATACACGCATTTATACGACTGTCAAGATGCCTGATATTAATAGCTTGACTTTTACTGTAAGCGGAGGTAGAAGAAATAACACCACCTTCACAATTCTGGCACAGTTTCCTTAAGAGCTGAATTCTCAGCCCATTGTTTCTGGATTTTGCCATACAAACCTGAGCAGCAATGTTCTATTTTTTAATTTCTGTTTAGATTTTTAATGCTTTCATTATGAATTTCTTTAGTTCCAGAGAGAAATTAGAGAGGCAACAGTGCTTCTCTTGCTGCATAACACCAACATTTACTGAAAATAAGAATAACTGAACTTGTACAGGAAGCCAATTTCTAATAAACCCTTTTACTGGGTTGTTGTTATGAAGCTCGAGCTTTTCATTTTTGACAAAAAGGCCCCACTTTTTAAAGAAAGGTCAGTCAATCTTTTTAGAAAGATTTAATAAATGACTTTTCCCACCTTACAGAATTTAGTCTTTTGTTGAATTGTTTCTGTTCCTATTAAAGCCTCACAAAAATGTACCTTCTATTATATTTTTTCTAATAGGTTTCTCAGCCTTATAACTATAATAAATTTGTCAGTCTAGGTTCGCTGAACACTGGAGTTTAAAATCCTACCACAACAGATTAGAAATATAACCATTTCTAAACCCTTTCAAGAAGTTTTACCCTTTCTTTCAACACATTTTATGTACTCAGCAATTCAATGAAAATAACCTTTCAGAGTCATTCTTTAAAGTCTCTTTCTTGGCGATAGCACAGTTGAGCCATTCGATCAGTCAGTCAGAAAACCTGAGTTCTGTTCCCATCTCTGCCAGAGTGGATTCATAGTCTGAACCAACTTGCTGAAAGCTAACATTTTCTTAAGTGTTCATTCAGAGGAAATGACCAACATGACCCACACAAGACCTGATTTTTAGAGCAGCTGAGTGCTCAGACCTGCAATTTCAATAATTTTGAGCGGTACCCTTAGCACTGCTAAAATGGTTAAAAAACGTCAAATAGTATCTTGTTTGGTAACCAGAGATGAAAAGCCTCAGAAGTTCTTACAGAAGATTTTAAGATATATGCAATTTTTTTTAAATTTTTTTTTTTTTGCCTAATCTCTTTCCTCTATATTGTGTCCATGAAATTTGGTTGTTGGTTGGCAGTCTGAGCCATGGCTTTCTGGTGACCTCTGGAGGGAAGCCTGACTTGCAGAGCCTTTCCATGGGAAGGTTTCATAGCAGACTGGTTCACTTGAGCTGTGCTGGTGAAATACCAGAATCCCACCACCAGTGTCAGTACTGCTATCAGCTGCTGGTCTTCACTGAGAGAAAACTTGGAAATTAAAGCTCCCAGTTGCCTGCTGCTCGGTGCCTCTGGCTATGGATAGTGTTGCAGAGGGAAAACCTGTAAAAAACACACAATGCACAACTTGTGCAGTCAGCTTGGCTCTGCCTGCTGAGCCAGGCTCTGTTTGTGCTATGCAGGTGTGCAGGGCACTGCTACTCCATTCAGACATTGGGAAGAGAATGTTTTGAACACAGCATCTCTGTGTTGTGAAGATCTTCCTGTATGTGTAGGCATCCTAATGTTACCTTCTATTTGCTGTGATCTCACTATGAGCTTTACATTACAAAGTCCTACATGACATTATTTGTGGTTGGCTGTTTGTCTGAACCTATTTCATAGCCTAAGGCACTGAAAGGCAAGTGAATTTAAATTTTAGCTTTCAAGTTGGTTTTCAAATGCTGTGAGTTTAAAATATTTAAATAGCAGCAAGTTCTAACAACATTCTCAGATTTCCTTGCACAGTTGACTGTCTTTGTCCTTAATGAACCAGACTCTATTTATGATAAGAGTTATGGACAGCACTGTGGAGTCCAGGCTTTGAATAGCTGGGTAAAAATGTCAGTGCTGCCATTGACGTGAAAAGGGTCAATAGTTGCTTTTCTGTCATTTATAGTTCAGCTTTGCAATAATGTAGTGCTTTCTTTGGAAAGATGAAGCAGTAAGAGATATGAGAAAAAAATACCTTCCAAGGAATGAGAAAATTACTTTCCTTAGGGAGCACCATTTATTTTCTTCATTAAACCTTATCAAAGAATTGTATCACTTGATGGTTGCTGGTTGAATTTCTGAAAATGGGTATGATGGGCAAAAGTTGTAGAGTTAGAGCAGTTTATATCAGTTTCTGAAAGGGAATTATTTTCTATTTAAATGTGGCTTATGTGTTTATACTCTGTGTGTGAGAGAGTATATAGCTGTGCTGTCTCTATTTCTAGTGATTTTTGAAGCTGATCAATTGCAGCCAAATTTAACACCAAATTAAATAGTTTACTAGTCCCAAAGACATCAAAATTCTGGAAGTTTTTTGAAGATAGATGGCTATTCAGAGAAAAAGAAAAGTAGTAAGGAGAGCTTAGAATTTGTAGGATGTCAGAGGGTGCATATAGGCTTTTTCCCTACCAACTCAAAACAAGTGGGATGAAAGCAGTTCATATAAGCAATCAAACTATCTGTTGCTAAAATATGACTGAAGCCATTACTGAGATGCTCTAAATTTCCTCTCTGAAAATGTCTCTGTGCAATTGGGTAATCTCTCAAAATAATTTGTAGTACCTTTTTACACATAGTGCCCACTGGAGTAATCAAACAGGGATGATTAAAAGTATGCTTTCCCAGTTATGTTTAAAAAACATGGTGTGTAAGTTTTATATACTTTGAATTGTCGCACACTGTTACAGACTCTGAGGAGGGACTATTGTCTGTGCACTAAAAGACATGTAAGGAGGTGTAGAAGTGGTTATTAATGTCTGTTCATGTGTGAGAAAATGTGAGTGTTACTTGTAGGAGAGATCATGAAAGCACGACTGGGATCCATGGCTAAATCCCACAAAGTATGCTGAAGGTAGCAAGATAATCTCTGCCAGTAAAGGATCGTTTTCAATTAATTGCTTGTGTTTAGGCTATAGTGGAAAGGAAATACACATCTAAGGAAAAAGGGAATTTTTCTTTTCCCTCATAGTTTTTCTTCCTTTCTGTGGTCTCATTTCATATGCTTGCAGGACTATAAGGAAATACAACTCTGGCAAGGCTGGAAAGTTATGATTACATGTCTTCCTTCTCATCATGTACCTGGTTTGGTCTATCTTTAGGTTTCATTTACTTTAGATTTCATTCATTGCTCATCAAAAAGCAACTAGACTAATTTTAGAAAATGACTCAGCAAGATATGGGGGTGAGGAGGAAGAGAGACAGTGAAAGATCTCACAGCCTGCAAGACTGAGATTTATGATAAATGTAACTTGGGAAATTTGTTTACTTTGAGTAAGATTTTTTAAAGGCAGTTCGATTACTGGCTACTTTATGGGCTGAAATATATGCAGAAAATCAGATTAATCTCAGTGGAAACACTAAGTTAGAAATGGCATCATTCATTGTGAACTGTAAAAAGGTTCTGCAAAGGCCTATTTATGGAAAAACAAGGCAACATCATAGGAGTTCTTTAGCAAGAATCATCCATTTGCTGTTAGGGTGCAGCAATGTAATTTGTTTGCCACTACACCTATGATGTTCCAGACTGATTTTCCCAACAAAACACAGGCTGAAAAATCACTATTAATGACAGTATAGGAAAATTCAGACTGTGTCCTGTTTTTAAGAAGAGACGATAGAGGATACTCAGAGAAGGTGCCAAAGAGCAGCAGACATCAATTCTTACCAGGCTTTGGCAGCCTGTAGACCAGGCACATCCTGAACCAGAGATTCAATCCACACCTTTATGTTTACTTCTCAGTTTAAACTCCTCCACGTCAATGTCTGAGGATAAGGTAAAGAGTACCATACATAAATAAAGACCAAACCTGTCTCTTCATTATGCATCCACACACTGCTGCTGTGGATGCATGTGGGTCCACAGCTGAGGCCCCAGGATACTACTACAACAGAATAATTACTATCCATCATGAATATCTTTGTCAGAGACTGAAATAGGTTTGCCTAAAATTGCTCAGAAAATTATGCAGTAATGTTGAAAGCTAAGAAATGTAGTGATAAGGTGACAGAAAATTCTTGGCTCTGCTGAAGTCAAAATGAACTTTGACCATGGCTTAGGTGAAGCCCAGATTTGTGCCTTGAGAGTCTGCCCAGACAGCTGCTCTTCCTGGATGTCCTGAGAGCCCAAAGGGGCTGCAAGGAAAGGTGTGCTGTCATGTATTTAGAACAATGGATTTTAACAAGCATGTGTGCACTGTGCATGACTGTACTACTGTTTTTGTGAGGAACCTACTCTTTCCAGCTTAGTTCTTCATTTTCACAAAACCAGATCCTGCAGCTGAGCACTTGTGGCTGTCAGTGTTCTCATGCCACTTTGTGAGGGAGGACTGGCAGAAAACATTCAAGTGCAGAGGATTTTGTAAAAAAAGAGGTTGACTTGCTATTTAGATAGCACTGGAAAGTGACAGTTGTGAAAAATTGAAGACTTGAGCATATACTACCTTTTTTCTCTAAGCTTTTCCTTCTTCTGTACACACAAATCAGGAAAAGAACCACTCCCTGTCCTTTGGGGATTTCTTCATCCAATTTACAGCAAATACTTCTGCTTGTAGGTATAGTACTTTGTGTTGTGACCGCCTTAGTGAAATAAATCTGTGGATAGCATGGCCCAGCAGGGAAACACAGCTTAGTGCACTGGTGAGGCTGTTCCTCAGACACTTAGACAGGTCTTCTGTGAAAGGAAGATTGGAGGCAACAGCCCAGGGATGGGCATTGCTGTGGCCTCACTGCTGCATTCAGACCCACAAGCCTGTGTAGAGCTCTGCTCACCCTGAGGATTGTGAGGGAACAATCCTCAGCTGGTCTTGTTCCCAAACCTGTCTGTACCAACACAATGGCAAGAGCCCAGCTTCTGCTACAGGCATCAGTTGCCATGTGGGAAAATGCAGCCCATAGATTATTGATAGCCAAGCCCCAGGAAGAAGTGGAGCTCTCCAGAATATCAGGAGTGTACAATAAAATTCAATGAGGAATGCAAAATAAAGGCAGGATTAGCTGCACAGAGAAACTTTTTAGTGCCTGAGTCCTGCATGCTTTTGCTGTAATCTGTTGCAGTTGATTCTACAGCCTTATAATGAGGCTAGTTTATAAATTATTAATAGATAATATGAACATCTAGCAGATAAGGATAACATGGGTTACAAGCTCATTAGCAGATAATGCTCTATAGCAGTAATAATCAACCTGCTGAACTCTGCTATTGCCTGTAACATTTGAGACCCATTTGTGAAAATACCTATTATTTCCTATTAAATATAAAAGGAAGTTTAATACAAAACATGGCCATAATGGTTATAGTACAATATGAGATCCCTTTTTAAATACTTTTTTGTCTTTAAGCACTTGTTTATGTCCGCCAAGATCCTTCTGTAAGTAGGAAATGTGTACACCAGAACTCACCTGTGAGGAGACGGAGATGTATTCCTCCTCTTAATGGGAAGCTCAGGTTTTGAGCTGGGCAGAGGCAATGATGGTTTCAGGGAGAAATGGTTTGGATCACTGAACAGCTGTGAAAGTCAGCTGAGTGAAGTGATGTCCTCTGAAGTCACCCCAGCTATTCCATGTCAATCTGGGGGTATCCCCCAGCTGTAGGTACAGAGCTGGACATCTCAGGGGGACAATGTCCTCCTGTCACACCTGGTGTACCTTGTACCCACCTTGGGTCTCATGTTCATGTGGGTATCTGATAAAGACTTTAAAGTTTGTGTTCTTAACACAAATATCACAATTGCAGGGAGGCTAAAATTCTACTCTCCTGAATCTCATTACTTTCTAAAATGCCTCAAGTCTGAGACTCAAAATAGTGCTCACACTATACAGTGTGAGCTGTAATAATTGTAATGACGTGTTGTGAAACCAATTCTGCTTTACACAAGGTGAAAAGATTTTTTTAAAATCCAGTAAATAGTTAAGAGTGAAAATAAAAGATCTGGGAATCCTTTATTTCAGGTCAGGAAGACTGTGATGTCCCAGTGCTGCAGAGGTGCCACCTTAGAGGGGATGTGGATTTAGTGACACAATTTTCCAAATCCAGTGTAGAATGCCTGCCTATATATATATATATATATATATATATATATATATATATATTCCTCTGTACCTTGCTAGGACAGACCTTTAGTTGTATGGATGCATCCTACCTGGTATAACTGTAGGTCTTTCTCCATATTGCTTTGCAAAAGTACCTTGTATCCTTCTCAGGAAGCTGAAGTCAAGAAAGCAATGGATAGGAAGGATTTTAGTGAATGAATTGACTTAGTTTCTGATATTTTAGTTGTTAAAATTAAACAGAGATATCTCCAAACCCACAAAACCAAGAACAAACCTATTCCCCAAACAATAGCCTTTTCAGTCATTAAGTGGGAATAACATGCACCAATAGGATTATGATGCCTGCAAATGCACCATACTAAAATAAAATTAGTTTAAAAGGCAGGCACAATATCATCATCAGGTAGCTTTCTTTCAGGGTCGAAAATAGCTTTAATAACTTAATTGTTGGAGTTACTATAAAAATACAAAAGTTCTCCTCCCACCCCAGTACAGCAGTGATTGTGTTAAAAGGAAGACTTCTGGGTCTTGAAGGCTGTTTTGGTGGTCCCAGCCTTTGAAAAATGAGGGCTATGGTCCACAGCTGGAAATCAGCAATGCAAAGTGTTGAAATTTCATTTTGAAGTGGGTGTATTTCAGAGTACAGAACCAAATGGGAAAATTCATTACATGAAGGTTAATGCATCATGCTACCTAGGAAGGATACTGAGAGGTGGCAGAGGAAAATCAATAAAAATTGAAGTGCAGGCAAAATGTGGAGTAGGAGCTCCAAAAGGCAAAGAATTCAAAGTTAGTATTACCTTTTGGGGACATGCTTTTTGGACTTACTTAGAAGGAAATTACATAATAGGACTTTACTCTCTATTTTGGGTAGGGAGCACTGTATAGTCTGAGGAAGAAAAGCGGGTGAGACAAGATTCAAGCAGAAAATTTGGGCAGGGGTAGCTGTGTGCTCACAGCCCTGCTCAGGGCTGTTCTTTGCTGAGGCTGTCATTAAATAACTGGCAATAACAAATATCTGCTCAAAGCACCCAGAGTGGTGGGTTCTAAGCCATTTCTGACAGAATGGACTTTCCTGGTCTGGCTCAAAGTCTGTGGGGATGCATTGCCCCAGAACAATTCTGTGAACAAACTGGAAACCACCAGGAAGGCATTGGACTGAGTCAGCATTTTGTGCCATGTGTCTGTGACTTTGTGGCCATTTCCAAAATTGGCTTTATCATTTTGTGCATTATATTTTCACCCAGCTACATGTATAAAACAGGGCACAAAACCAGAAATAAATAAAGGCATAAAATGTGGGGGTATACTAGTATTCCTTATTTAAGAACGTTGGTGTAATTTGAGCAATTTTATTTAATTTTTATTAAATTACCATGTCCTTTTTGCTTTTTGTCATTTTGGAGCTTGTTCTATTTCTTTTTGTCTTATCTTTTATGTGACAAAATTCCAGCTTAATATCTTTTTTTGGCAGTTACATACCTTATCTTTGTGGTGGATGCCAGCACAACAACTGTGAAACTGCTGAAGCTGATGAATCATAGACCAGTCCTTGATCTTCACTGGGGACTGGAAGGTGCTGAGCCCCGGCTGATCAGGCACCATGGAGAAACTGGAGGAGAATTTTGACAAATAGAGAAAACTGTGTTGTGAAAGGGCTCTGCTCATCTGCCCAGATTAGCTTGAGTCAGTTATTCTTCCTAATACACAATGCTGTGAGGTCAGTAGTGCTTTTGAAGTCCATATAGGATCTATAGCCTGAGAGTAAACAAGCCACCTGCACCCTTTTTATTTCAGAAAACAGAGGAGGAAGAAAAAGGTGCAAAGATTTACTTATGGCCAATTTCCCAGGCTGCAAACAATTTACAGGTCACTGGGAGACTTTCAGGCAAAGGCATAACATATGTCTAAGAGGCTCAAAGTAAGAGGCCACCTAGAAAATTGGATTTAAGTTATAAGGAAGCTTATTTAAAGCACTAAAATTCAGAAGGCAGAGCCTTTCATAACCTAAGGTACTGAACCTTGAAGAGTTTTTATGATTCCACCCCAGTCCAATAAAGGTGTTTTTCAGCTTGAAGTCTAGTATCAAGCAGCACTAAGGACTTTCCTTGCTAGTTACAAAGTGTGATGACCTTTCTATACCTAGATAAATAAAGTGTCACCTTTTACTCTGTGTCACCATTTTTACACAGCTACATATATTACAGCTACAAGCCAACAGCCTCTTTTGGTCACAGTCCCACTGTATTCAGATTCATGATGAAATGATATTTAATTTAAATAAAATTAAATGATATTTTAAATTAAAATGTTCATCTGATGATTAGACTCAGAGTTTGTCCAGCAGCTGCGACACTGAGCCAATACCATTGAAGGGAATGATTTGAACCTGTAAAGAGAATGAAGCAGTGTGGTGTTGATGGTCCCATCAGGCTGCATGTAATGAAGGCCTCGATTTATTGTTTTTCTATGGTTTTTTCTGTTCTTCTTGACTGTGTCCTGATGAAACACAATAAGCACCTTGTTACAGAAAAATGCTCATTTATGTGCCTAAATATGCCTCCATTCCATCCCTCTTGTGCACCCCATAGCAACCCCACAGAAAAAACAACCTGGCTTTCCTTAAAAGATCACAAATTCCCTCCCATGCATTGGCTGAGAGAAGCATAAAGATCGCATTTGGTGCTGCAGCCAAACTCATCAGCTCTCCCTTTGCTTTTCCTTCTCAGCAAGGAACTGGAAAGGATCACAGCCTTCCCTCTCATGGAAGGGACCTGCAGCATCTCAGATCTCCAGACTGACTGACAGAACCTCACGTTAGGAGGCTCTGGGGGTCTCTGTGATGTGTGGCTGAGGAGTCACTATTTCTCTGTCATGATGGGAAAATATTTTTAAAGAGTCTGTAATAGATTTGTTATTTGGGCTTTATTTGCAGGTTCCCACTGTTGCCTCAGTGTCTCATTCCCTGCCTGAGCAGTCAGAGTCTGCTGCTCTCATCTTGCAAACAGGGCATCATTTTAGAGCAAAAACCCCAGTGAAACAGATGATGGGGGGCTGTGCCATGTTCCCTATATTTAGCCTTGGGCTTCTAGCCAACAATGCCTTCTCCCAAGACAAAAGACACATACCTTCTGCCTTTCTTCTGATGTTGACCCAAAAACTCTCTCTTTAGCAGCTCCTTAGACAAAAGAACAAAGAATTTATGATTAGATGTAGTGCAAGGATAGCTTGTGATATGAAACAGGGTTTGAATTGGGCAGTGACAGAAATGATGAGCTGTGCAGAAAGCATGGCTCAGACACACAGAGACAGGGAAATGTGAAATATTTGAAACAGCTCCCATAAGAGACATGGAACTGAAATGCAGAATCTTTTCAAAATTCAAAACCATAGCATAAAACACAAATGAAGCAGGCGTTGACTCCTAAACGAGGATTTCAAGACATACGGAAGATAACAACTTTAGAAAAGAAAAGCAAGCCCAGTGACTGTCAGATTGATTGAACACAGTGTCAGGAAAGATTGCTTTGTGAGTGTTGCTTCTTAAAGCATTACAAAGTCAGAAAGACATCAAAAACATTGATTGGCAGCAAAGGGGAACAGAAACCACCAGTGATCAATAAGGTGGCTGCCAGCAGGTGGGGATGACATGTCAGTGCAGGAAGCACTTTGTGGGACTTCAAGTGGCTAAGTAATAGGAC